CCGCCACTGCTAGCGTGGTGGCCATGCAGGACCGCCAAGACATCCCCGCACAATTTAACCAGGTACTATTTTTCCCCCTTTTATATTTGCTCTTCGGAAACTACGCGACCGACTCTTATCTTCAGTTATCTTCTTTAGTCTTTTTTTTCATCTTCACATAAAAATTAGTTTATTTTAAAAGAGAAATTGTTTAAGTAACGTATTATATGTTGATTACAGATGCAGGGCCAACATGGAATACCGCATCAAACTTACAACGCAGGGTACGCCCAGAGAGGACCAATGGCCGGAATGGGGCCAGTCGGGATGAGCAACTTTAATAGCATGGGCACGATGAGCCCAATGCACTCTATGAATTCTATGAATTCGATGAACAGTATGAATGGCATGAACTCGATGAATCCTATGTCGATGGGTGGTATGAATGGTATGAATGGTATAAACGGAATGACCCCCATGAGCTCTATGAGTAACATGGGTAATATGGGCATGAACAATATGATGGGACCTAACAACATGCAAATGAACAAAATGAGCATGCAAGTACGTGAAGTATCGAATTCATTTTATAATTCATACACTTAAAGCGAAAATGGACTAAACTACACGCTCTTTTGGATATAAATTTGTAAGCTGTATTAATTATATAAGAGGGGAAGAATTCATTTTATTTCTATTACGTGTGCACATCTATTGTAGACAGAAAATTACTGAGTTTGTTAAGTGTTTGAGTTAGTCCACTTTTGCTCTCAATGTCTTAACTCTCCTTTTATTATCTCAGATTTATGGTAGAATGCTATTATTCAGCAAATAGTAGAGTATGTATTTTTTAATGTTCTTGACTTATGACTTATATTACCATATATTTTCAGGCTCAACCTCACCAAGGCTATCCAAGGAGACTAGCGCCTTATCCAAACCCCGCAATGCATATGGCGCAAAAGAGGCAACAAGGCCCGTACGCGGGTCCTAACCCGGCTGCAATGCAGCCAGCCTTCAGCGGCATGTCGTCGTCACAGTATCCGACCAATTACCCTAGTGCAGCGAGGCCGAATTTTCAACCTCAATACCAACCTATGCAGAGTATGAATCCGTCGGCTGCTGGCTTTGGGCCTAACTCTATGATACGGAGTAATAACATGAGACAAACTGCGCCTTCATACAACACCGCTAATCAGGCTACTAGTAACCAATATTACGGTAGTAACGGTATACCGGTTAGTATGGGACCTACGACGGTTGGGAATCAGTTCGTTGGTCATCAACCAAACTCAGGATACGCCGGTAGTGCGTCTTCGTATGGTGCAACTGGTGCTGCAACCAGTCAATATCAACAAGATGTTGCATCAATGAGAACGACAGGCGCGGGGAATTTAAATTACCAACACAGTCCTATTCCCGGTAATCCGACTCCGCCGTTGACACCAGCCACCAGTATGCCTCCTTACATCAGTCCAAATCCGGATATTAAGCCTAATTTCAACGAAATGAAATCACCGGTTAATATTCAGAGTAAGTTAAATTCATGCTTTGATCATATATTTAAAATTAATATATTAAAATAGAATGGAGCATCAATAACTAATATTTTCCCGTTTTGTACAGAGGATGATGAGTTAAGATTAACATTCCCCGTGAGGGATGGCATTATTCTTCCACCCTTCCGCTTAGAACATAATCTGGCTGTAAGCAATCATGTTTTCCAACTGAAATCCACGGTACATCAAACGTTGATGTGGCGATCTGATCTGGAACTGCAACTCAAGTGTTTCCACCATGAGGATAGGCAAATGAACACGAATTGGCCAGCGAGCGTGCAAGTTTCTGTAAACGCTACGCCGTTAGTTATTGATCGTGGTGAGAATAAAACATCTCATAAGCCTTTATACCTGAAAGATGTTTGTCAACCTGGAAGAAACACGATACAAATTACTGTATCGGCATGTTGTTGTGTAAGTTTGTTTTATCTTCATATGCTCACAGTCTTAAAATTTAATTTTTACATGCGGTAATATGAATTTCTTTCTTTTTATTTGCAGTCTCATTTGTTCGTGCTTCAATTAGTTCATCGACCAAGTGTGAGAAGCGTACTTCATGGCTTGTTACGTAAAAGGCTACTAATGGCGGAGCATTGTATTGCTAAAATTAAACGGAATTTCAATAATACTATTTCAAATAACGGTATACAGTCGGAGAAAGATGTCGTAGAACAAACAGCACTTAAGGTAGATATTTAACACCATATTTAACATATTACGCTTATGTTTTTTATTATATTTATCATGCAAATTATTTTATTATAGGTATCCTTAAAATGTCCTATTACTTTTAAACGTATTACACTGCCAGCTAGAGGACATGACTGTAAACATATTCAGTGCTTTGATTTGGAGTCATACCTACAGCTAAATTGTGAACGAGGAGCTTGGCGATGTCCTGTATGCTCGTAAGTAATTTTTTAACAATTTTCTTTTCGATTATAAAACTAAACGCATTTTGTTCAAGTTTCACATAATTTTGTTTCTATTATATATAGAAAACCTGCACAATTAGAAGGTTTAGAAGTTGATCAATATATGTGGGGCATTTTGAACACTCTAAACACTGCAGAAGTGGAAGAAGTTACGATAGATTCGATGGCGAATTGGAAACCAGCAAAGAATTTAACTGCTGGTATTAAATCTGAAGAAGAAAATGATTGTAAGAGAATGACAAAGGCAATGTCACCTGGAAGTATGAACATGCCTACTATGAATAATTGGGATATGAATCAAGCAATGAGTCCATACATACCACCTGATATGAGTAGCATTGTAAGCGGCTCTATGATGAATAATACACCAACCACGTACGGAAATAATAACATCAATCATCGGAATTCATCAGGAGGATCTTTCGATATTAATTCCGGAGCGAATACGAATACCAATAATGATTATACTAATGGAACTGGGCCTCTTTCGCACTTAAACGAATCGGTGAACTCTTTAGATCCTCTGAATGCTATGGAAAAATCACTTAACGATCAAGTATGTTCTAAGCTCAGAATTATTCTATAACTATATATAACCTTTCATAGATCATTTGTTAAATATTTTGTCCTTATTTTTACAGATGCCCCACACACCTCATACACCCCATACTCCTCACACACCACACACACCAGGTGGTGGAAACAGTGGTCCACCAAGTGTTCCTCCTGCATCCCAAGAGTCCACTGGAAACCTCAACACATCTGGTAATACGAATACAAACATAACCAACGATACTGCAGATATACCGTCAGATTTAAATTTTGACCCAGCTGCGGTAATAGATGGCGAGGGTACAGGTCAAGAAGCATTGAATGTAAGTAATAATCTACATTTTCTTAATATTTAAAGTATTTTTATATGTTCGTGTGATATTTATTCCTTATTATATTATGTTGTAGCTCTTACCAGATAATGTTGTGGATCCGATGGAATTACTTTCATATCTAGATCCACCAGATCTGAATACCCCTCCCAGCAGCGGCGCTAGCAGTGGTAACCCCTCATCAAGTGATGATATATTAGCACTTTTTGAATAAAGATAACGGGCATCTCGTAAGAGAAATAATCAAATTGCGACCCTGACGTTACGAAAGAAAACTATATCGGCAGGTTTGCATCCTACTACAAATATATTTCTAATCGAATGAAGATATTTGTAGTGAGCAATTTCAAAAACGTATTGGGGTCACTGTTGGGTGCTCTCACCTAATTCAATGGTACAAAAAATCTTAGCTCTAATTATAATATTCCTATCAACAAAGTTAGGGCATATTATTAGATTTAAAGACGATGACTTTTAATTAATAGGCGAAACAAAGCACCACGTTGTAGTGCTTGTTTGTAAAGATATTATTGCATGGATTATGTTTAGTCCTTTGATATTGGAAATATATATTTCCAATAGTAACGCGTTCTATAACATTGTGCCGGGCATATGTTCCAGAACTAATCATCGCAAATATACCACAATTATATTAATTGTGTTCAAAAAACAATGGTAATCCAATTTTTTAATATCGAATATAGAATAATGTTTTGCACAAAGGGTTTTACATATAGATTAATATTATGGAAAAATGTTCATCTGATACAATAAATGTGCAATACGATCAACATATTTACATATGTACATTTTATACATATTACCATTTATCTATTTTTTCATTCCAAAATAAGTTTTTATAGAGACAATATTCAAGAAATCTACCACAGGATGTAGAATTAATTAATATTATGTTTGGTACAATAAATTGATAACCTTTTATTAATAGATTTTAAAAAATCGTATAGCACATTTATACAATTTTATATTGAAAACGTGGACTTCTGAGGTTAATGTGTACATAACATTGGAATATGATTTTAGAAACCTTATATTAATATGTCATTGAAAATTAAACTAATATTAATAAATTTATGATTTTGGAATATTTGCTTGACAAAATGTGCTGTGCTATTTCAAAGACTTCACTTTGAAGCTTTCCCTGCAATACAATCTTTACCTCAGAACCGGTCTACTCGCATTCAAGGCTATGATGGACCTACATCACAACAGAACTACGATTGTACAGTAACATTTGTAAATAAGTTTTAATCGAAAAAAAATAGGTAAGACATTCATCTGTTGTGAATTACCCTGCTTATTGATGGATATAGCGCATATAGTGTTCCTTTCCTTTAGATTAGATGATTAGTGACAACAGATGAAACAGAATCGAGGGCATATCGGGCTTCACACTGGGAATTATATTTGGTATGGTGTATCTCTTGTGCTTTTGAAAGAAATACGTAATTCAGAAATATTTAAGTTATGCCGGATGAAATATATTACTTCGCTTTTTAAGCAAATAATTTTTATTTAAAAATCTATACATTGATATTGAATTTATTGATGAAATGTTATTTACATTGCTACTTCGATAAATATTATGTATATAGATTTAACAAAAAAAAAGAGAAAATATATAGAAAAATTTCCTACTTTTTCTTTTAAGTCATAGAAATTTTTTAAATTTTTTTAAAGAAATTTATCAAAATGTAATAATGAAATACATAATCGATGAAAATAACAAGATATTTTTATAACATACAAAATCTCGAAAGATACATCAAAACCTATATACCTACATATACATATGTTTATATATATATAGGATTTATTTTCACATTTTAATGTAGAAGAATTATATTAATAATTATGTTAATAAAAACAAATGTATCATTTTAGTTATTATTTTTATTAAAAGCAGGAGAAACTTTGTAATATTAAAACAATTAGATTAACATTGACCTAAGTTTATAAAAAAGGAGAGACAGATAATAAATTATATTACACCAAATGTTTAGACGAAATCAACTTTTACACAGAATCAGTATTAGAAAATAAATTCTATATAACAGAATTAGCACAAATTCTCAAAGGAACTGATTTTTCGTTCAATGAAACTTCAGATTTAGAGTTATATGTATATAACACTACTGCCAGAGTGAAACCGCCCATGGCCCCCAGCTTGTGTAGTAGTTATGACATTTATATCTTTTGTGATTTAAAAAGAAGATATACTTACAATGATTCATGTAGGTTATACAAATTTTATATAAAAATGTATTTATATTCCAGTGTGCAACAATAGCGCACACTGACGGATTAGATGCGGTCAAGTTTCTATTCATATAACTATTATAATATTATTGAAAATAGGATAATAATAATACTTACATTAAGCGAGATTATTGTATATTACTTGTATATATGATAAATAGATTAATAATATAAGAAAAGTGGCAAATACTTATTGGCCAGTTATAATAGTAAAATAATTATCGTATTTCTCAGAACCAAACATACAAGCGTTGTATGAGAATACTTTAAAACTAGAAAATATAACATGTAAATGGATACAGGATAATAACAGTTCAAATACTGCACTGTTATTTCTAATAGAATTATTACTTACTTATTAAAGACATAATTATCAAAAAAAGTTTATTCAAATTGTAAGCTTTACTTAGGATTGCCAGAAAGTAGGCACATGCAACGTTGTTGCAATTGTATATAGGCAATGTCTACCTATACCTACTTAATAATATCCTAAAATACATGATACACGGTCTTGGTTTACAAGTTGTAGAGCTTTATAAATATCTGCACAAAATTATAAGTTTTTGTGAAAATATTAGAAAGAGTAAAATGTTAAAGGAGAATCAAAGCTTACTGTATTATTATTGATTAATTTTTAACAATTGAGTAATATACTTCCTGATAAATTTTGCTCATCTAAAAATGAATAATTTTATACTGAAAAGATCTAACTTTTAGAAAAAAATATTACTAGTAAATAATAAAGATCACATTTTAAATCTTGAATATGGAACATTAAATTACCTATTTGCAATATCGTTTAAAGTCAGTTCAGATTATTATAAGTCTCTACAACTTAATGATTATATACCTATTTATCTATTGTTAGGAGGCCTATGATTTGATCCTACAGTGCGCCACTGAAAACTTAAATGATCAAATGTCATGTGTGTTGTCTTGTCCAAGACCCGAAAAACTTCACTAAAAAAATAAAATATTTTCATGTAATATGACACAGCTGTACCTACTTATGGCACATTGAACATATTCAATGGATCCAACAAAGCTTTAGAGCTTGTTGATAAGCATTTAAGAATAATTAATAATTTCATTTTGTTGTTAAGTTACAATGCGTATTATTTTAAATTTATTAAAAATTTAATGTAGTTTAGATGATCAGTTTTAAATACTATATAACATTTATAGATATTCATAACTTTTTATTATCCACGAAAACTGGACATGGACCAAATTTTGATTATACGCGGGATTTATAGAAATCGATAAATTTCGGAAATAACAAGTGTTCGTATATTTTGAGTATCTAAAAACATTAAAAGCTGTGCAGATTGCTTTAACATAATTTCACATATTTAACAATAAGATAAATGTGTTTTAAGCATTGCCAAAGAGAATAAAAATTGAAGCTATAGAATAACCCAACGAACTTAGTTTACATACAAGATTATACTTTTGGTAGAATAAGAAACGGTCACAAGTTTACTAGTCTGCAATTAGAATTAACGATTTCTCGTCTTTGGATAGGTATTCCGCTCCATTGTAGTAAAAGTTAATGTTATAATACGTATAAATACAAGCATAAGTTAAATAATTTAATTGATTAAAATAGTGATTTAGAGGTGGAAAAATGTCAAGTTTCTCTTTAAATCAGTAAATTATGTGGCTCGATTTTTATTCTACCAGTAACAATGTTTTTATATCAATAAGATTTTTATAAATCTACTTGCGATTACTACCCGAAATTTTTCATAAATCATTCAAAAATTTCCTAGATAAGTCATAATGATGTTACATTAATCGATACACAAAATATACGTATTTATCATAGTCGCCATAAGTGATTGGTACAGGTTTGTGTAAAAATAAAAAGTAATACAAAAAGTGTACGTTACGAAAAAAACACTGATATCATTGGTTACATTCATGTAAAAAATTTTAATACACAAAGACCAGTTTATAATATGTATGACAGACACCGCATTGTTTCTCGATAACAGTTAGAAACATTCAATAAAAAAGTCATAAAATATTGAACACTTGTACCATTCTTAGATCAATTTTCCTACAGCTCAATCTATCAAAAGAAATATATTTTGAAGATAATATGGTCGCGGTAAAATATAAATTGTTGAACAAACGAAAATAATTGTTGTATTCATACAACATATTCAATAAAATAGTTAGCATTAATTTGACATCAAATAATTTTATTATAATAATTTTATAATAACATAATAATAAATTTATTATAATAACTTAAAACGTAAACCATTTCCGGGTCAAGATAAGACATAACAACATAGTGATGGAAATATAACTTATAAATTCTTTCCATGAGTATTATTATAAATATAATATCAGCATCAACAGATATCAATTTTCAAAATTGAATCGAGTAAATATTGTTCTACTTTTACTATATTTATTACAACGTTTATCTTTTTATAGAGTATAGTATTTTTCTATGTAGTGTATATGAAAAAATACATTAAACATAATGATTTTTAGACGTTATATTTAACCTTCAAATCTCTTACCATGATGACACTTGCTTTTGCTTCAAAATGTTTTTATCACGACATATAAACAGGTCTGACCGTGGTCCGGACATTCGCTAGGGAAAGCCATCTGTCTGTTGAGTCGAAAAATGTTAAGATGGCGAGGAAAAATAGCTCTCCTTTTGCAAAGCAGACACAGATGAGTGGAGTGTCGCTGTCTCTGCCTGAGGTAATATAGTACCTATGTGTATATATAAATATATATACATGTATATTTTACGCATGCGCAGATCATGACCTTTTCTTGTCCTCCATCTTGATTTTCTTCAACTCAGGAAACGGACGGTTTCATCAGTGTGGTTTCGGTATAAGAATTTTCAGATCTGTATCTGTAGTTTCTATGTTTGTTTGTAGTAGTGTGTAGTAACTAACAGTATATGAGTCACGACGCGCGCTATAGCGCGCCATTATACTCTCTATTCTTCTATAAACTGCATTATTCGCTGTGGGAACTATTTTCAAAGTAAAAAACGATGTACTCAATAGAAAGTGATAGTATAAACAATAGTAACAAATACAGTGATGATGTCGCAGATGCGTTGGTATTTTCGGGGTAAGATTTAATGCATCATGTACACATAATTAATCGTACAATGTGTCCCAATAATACAATCACTCTGATATATTTTCGTTGTTTTTTATATTGTATATTGATAGATGTTATTTATTTGCATGAAATTCTGAATTGTAAGAAAATATATTTATTCCTAGAGTTAATTATAAACAATTTTATTTTGTTATGAATTCAATTTTTATTATTTACATTACAATATGTTAATAGAAAAATAATAAAGTGTCCATAAAACAATGAAAATGAATTACAAATCCCGGATAATTTAATTTTGTGTGTAATCAGTTACAATTTTGCATGCTATTTTTTTTTATTTTCCAGAAACAGCGTCAGTCCTCTCAAGGGCCCTTTATTACAAACGGCACCCACAGACCGCTATGCCCTATATTACAACATGAATCATGCAAAACGTGGATTAGCTATTATTTTTAACCATGAATTTTTCACTATTACACATCTTAAACCAAGATGTGGAACAAATGTTGATTGTGAAAATCTTGTCAATACATTTAAAGATCTTGGTTTTGAAGTAAATGATTTTCATAATTGCACACATAGAGATATAATGAAAAATTTAGAAAGAGGTACTTGGTTGATGTTTCCTTTTCATAATTTTGAACTTTGTTTTTAATCACAAGAAAAATATGTTTTGGGTTTTGCATGAAGACATATAAATGAAGATGCATTGAATAGACTTTTTCAAGTTATAACTTTCTTTTTACAGTTGCTGACATGGACCATTCTGAACATGATTGCCTAGTTGTAGCTATATTAAGCCATGGAGATTTAGGAATACTTTATGCTCATGATACTTCTTATAAGCCTGACTCCATTTGGTCTCTCTTTACATCTGATAGATGCCCTACGCTTGCTGGCAAACCAAAACTATTTTTTATACAAGCTTGTCAAGGGGATAAATTAGATGCTGGTACAACATTAAAAGAACGTACAGAAACTGATGGTGAATCAGTTACAACATTCCGTATACCATGTCACGCAGATTTTTTAATTGCATACTCCACAATACCAGGTAAATATAACTTCAAGATAAAGTTGATTTTGAATCCATTATATTTTTATTATATTATTAAATATATAATTTATTTGTCTGTTATAAATACAGACATTCAGAATAATATTAAATGGTTTCACTTTCATGATTAAATAATTTAACGATACATGCTGAAAAACTCAGAAATAGTTTTACCTTTTTTTTAGGAGAAATTATTTTTACATTTTTATATATCCGCAAGGGAAAATTTTTTTCAATTAATATAGTTTAAAAAATATTATTTGTATATATAGGTTATTATTCTTGGAGAAATACTACTCGCGGCTCGTGGTTCATGCAAGCGTTGTGCCTAGAACTACGAAAAAATGGTACTCGCCATGACTTGTTACATTTGCTCACATTTGTTTCTCTGCGAATTGCTGTTGATTTTGAATCCAATACTCCAGATAATATCACAATGCATCAACAAAAACAAATTCCATGCATTACGTCGATGTTAACTCGTCTAGTAATGTTTACACCTCCTAAAAATAAAATTGTATAGTCGTTTTATGCACGAAAGATTTATGATATATGATATGCTATAAAGTACATATATATATATATGTATTTTTTTAATTACAAATAATGATACCTTTCCAAGTAAGTGGGTATCGCATTTTTACATATTTTACATTTTACATCTCATTCTTTTAACATTGTTCTCTGTTGTTAGTTTGGAATGTGTATCTATTATGGGCTCTACAGTCCACAAGGTATAAAAAGTTAACTTTGCCTGGTCAATGTCAGCATTATATACCGCTATTTGACAAAGTTCAGGGAAAATTGATAGCAATTTTGCTCATATTACAGTGGGTCTTCAAGATTTTCCCCGAACTTCGTCGAGGAGCAGTGTCTAATGTTGACAATAGCCGGTCAAGGTCGACTCCACATTCTGTACTCTTTACTTCTTCTATTTCCTGCTACTCTCAGTTTCATTGTACTCATTTTTTTCTTTCCTCCTCCTTTTTGAAAAATTAATCCTTTGCCATACCATTTAACTCGGAAGAATTCGGGCCCAAACGTTGCGCCCGAATGGTAGGGAAAGGAGTTGAAGCGACGGAGACAGAGTGTCGGAACTTGCAATATGATATCGTGCAACTGAATGCGTTAGATAGTTGCGCCCGTGTTTAGAAAAAACACATCATTCGAGACATTCATACTTGGCCCGAGATTAAGACCACGAGCCTGACTCGTGATATTCAGGTTTAATTCAAAATTTTCATCGCGATTCAGACTCGTCAAAGGCAAAATGGCAAGGAATGGCAAGGCATTTTTGTTTCTTCCATGTTTGATTCTATTTTTTTTTTTTTTTTTTTTTTGTTGCTTTACCAACTTCAATTTGATATATTATATGTACATTATGTACCTTTATAGCATTAATCATATTGTTACTAGAAGTTCAAAGATAATATTTTACCTGTGCAAATTTCTACTTGATGTGACTTCAATGTAATGCATTTAAATGATAGCATTTATCTTATAAAAACTGCCATTATATATTATGCAATATTTGCACTACAAAACAAAACATTATAGCAATATAAAGTAGATTTTATGCTACATATAAATTTTTGTACTTGTCTAGATTAAGGAATCTTACAAATTTTATGTCTTTGTAAGATTGATATTTATAATAGAAATTTACAACAATAAGATCTCAAGCTATAATTTTTAACAGTTTTTAAATTATTAAAAAAACTGCATAGAATGGATGTAATAGTGGTCATGCAAAAATTTAATACAGTATATTCAAAACCATTATAAGTAAGATATATAATAAGTACAAATGAAAAGTAAAATTAAGACAACAGTGCTAAAACTATAGCTAAAATTGATTGCCTTTGTGATTGCTGCTTTATAAACAAAATTTTATAAGTAATTTATATATGACCTATACAATTTCGACATTATATTTTGAAAAAAGCTATTTTTTAACCATTGTAATGCAAAACAACTTAAGAAATATATATTTAATGCCTACTAAATATATTGTACAAAAGTCAGAAGGACAAAATCTGTGTCTTTTCATAACAAGCAATAGTCTAATCTTATCTAAAAAAGAATGAAATATTTTCAAGTTAGTAATAGATAAATATAACTTGCCTGATTAGAGTAGTTGTGATTATATAAGGTGCAATTACAACGAATATTACCTATTGTTAAGAGGATAAATATGAAATAAGCAAGGCAATTTGCATATACTTTTGGAATTGCTGATGCACATAAAGTGTTATGTTGCTTCATAGTTTGAAAAAAGGCATTATTAAATAAAGTAGATAAGAATTTAACAAAAAATACTAATATTATGGCAAAAATTACTATATTTGTAATTGAAATGGCATTATTATGATCTATAAAAACGTCTAGAAACGTGATATAACAGTCTTTCATAATAAAAGTATGTAATTTTAAAATACTGATTAATGCAATTTACAATATTTAACATCGCTTTTAATAGTTTGACCACTATGTTTTCATTGGTATGTCTATATACATGTAATGTAATTAGTATAAAATATTTTCCTTAAAGGAATATTCTTTATGTTATATGAGATACATTGTTCCTTACTGTTACAATTTTTAGTATAATTTTTCGATATATTATATTTAACAAAGTAGTTGCTCAACAAGATAATGTTACAGATAAGACAATGTTATGGAACTACTTACGATATTTATTATACTATAAATTGTGATAAGTATGCTTATGCGATACAATTTTTGCGCACTTTTACTGCTATTCTATAATCGAAAGTTTTTTAATGTCTTTATGCTATAGCTTTTATAAGTCTTTCATATATACTGTAATTCGTATATTTGCCGAACTTTTATGTACATGAATCTGTATGTAAATGTACAAGATATAATAAAGTTTAGATAAAAAACAGATGGTGTTTAATATCATAAAATAATTAAAATAATATACTATATATATATATATATATATATTAAAAATACATTATAAATATTTACATTATAAAATATAATGTAAATATGTCTTATAATATAAATATGAATGAAATGCGTATTATATTAAAGACAATGAAAAAAATATTTATATATATGTATTTCATGACTAGAACAAATGAATGTATACAAACATTATATACATAAACAATCGCTCACATAATAAGAAACATTGCTAATATTTTTTTCATGTTATATTAGATAAATATAAAAAATTCGTTGTTAAAATATTTTGCCTGGATATAATTTTAAATACATTGTATCATATTTTTTAATAATGGTCCCATATTATTACCTGTACAATTAAAAATATTGCTTTTATGTTACTTGCCTAGGAATATTAATTACTGTTATCTTATTTATAAAATGTGAATGCTCTGGAGCTGTATATGGACGATTATTTTTTGATCTAACTGCACGTGAATATGTATCTAGTGTTACTGGATTTAATATCGGTGGAAGTGTCTGAACATTCTGTTGAGATTCTAGAGTGTTTTGAGTAAATTTAACAGTTTCTGACATATCCTTAATTTCAGTGACAGATTCCTCAGTAGTCAGTGGTGCAGTCTTATTTCTATATGTAAACATTTTCTTTAGCTTTTTTCCATTTGCTACTATACCTGTATAAATGTGGTTTATAAATGTACTATAGTATTTACATTATTTTATATTTAAATAGTACATACCATTTTGAGAAACACTTGGTGCTTGAGCATCTTCCTAAAATTATAATATAATAAGTAAAATAGAAGCATAGTCTAACAAACAAACAAACAGAATAATTTTTAATAATATTACCCTTTTTAAAACTAGTTCTTTGATTGGCTTAAAGGGATTGGAATGGACTGATAGTCTTGATGGTGAATCTAATACTACGCTTTGTACTTCAATATTTCTTTCACTTTGAGCATTTTGATTTTTAAGTCTAGTATTTAAACTTGTATAGTTCTTCACTATTATATCCAGCAGCCATCTATATAATTTATTTATATTTAGTAAAAATTAAATTTTATATAATCAACATAGAATAAAAAGCTAACTACGTACTTGTATCCATTTTTAATACCTATAGTATTATCTTTTGACTGATCTCCTTTCCAAATACATGAACATATTTCTACTCTTGTGGGACATTTCATAGTATTAGCAGCATGTTCTATGTCTAAGTTTTCAACGAGATCTAATTCATCAATAGCTCCGTTTATATCCTGTTTGTTTGCAAGCCTATTATGAAATATAATGAAGAATATACACGAAAATCTTACTAAGTTAAATGTATATTACATATATGTATTTTTAGTGTAGTTAAGTGGTGCATATTATATCTACAAATGGTACTCCGTGCATGAACAACAATGCAAGTATAAGCAATACATTTAATTTTCTTACAACAACAATGGCTTTCCTGAAATATATTCATGTGAAATTAATTCACCAAATACAACTTTATTTTCTGTAAGACGGGAAATATCACTAGCATCCACCACGTATATAAGACCATGTATCTAAAAGATGGAAAACGGAAAGACAGGTTTCAAACAATATTATTAAGGATAGAAATAAAAGGATTATCTATATCCTAACTGCAATTGTAGCTAACGAAAGTGTTATACATTTATTAATTACTTACTCCATTATAGTATTTTGGCCATAAAGATCTGATTTGAGAGCTTCCACCAACATCATAAATTTTTACAGTGTATGATTTATATTTTAAAGATACTACATGGAACCCTATCGTAGGTAAAGTGGTTTTATCTGAATCTAATAAAAAAATATATAAATGATGTACTATTTAACTTTTTGGAAAAGTAATAAATTAAGGAAATTAAAATCGCAAATTAAAAAGATATTTGGAAAGTCAGTTATAATTGTCAACAAAAGTAAGATAAACAATTTTTTTAGCAAAATACACATATGTATGATACCTCCACTGATGCAGTTCAAAATCGAAGTTTTTCCCGCATTATCAAGACCCACAATAAGCAAGATAATACTCCTAAAAATTATATCATTATTAAATACATATTTTCTCATCAGTATGAGTGTTTTGATATATTAATTCATTACTTTTCGGCACATTTCTTCTTTTGTAACTTTTGCAATACGCTTCGCATACAATTACCCATTATAGTAAATTTATTTAATGTTGTATTTGGAAATCAATTTGTGTCATGTTGTATCATACATTTCTATATTTAAGAAATACGCTTAAATATAATAGGAAAAGAAAGACCATTTAACAATCATTGCACCAATTGCACGTCAAACGCACCAATTAACTATAGTTTCGTCAATGTAATAAAATGTAGCTTCATATAATCTAATGTTACATAAAGAGAGCTGTTATAAAACATTCATAATTCGTTTATCTCTTAATTTACATATATGATACAAAGAAACTATAAAATATCATCCAATGCAATATTATATAAAAAATCTATTATATAAAAAAGTTACATCAATTGCTATAAAGTTGAACATAAATTCAAGTATGAATTGTATTAAGGATAAAACAAATTTTTAAAATTCTATCAACATTTTCAAAATTATATTTTTATGTGACGCAATAGTTACTTAATGACATTTTATCAGTTTACTTCTTTTCAGTCTCTTTCTATGTTCCTTTCATACTTCGTGACATTTCATATTTTCTTTCCAAATTTTCACTCTAATTACGCGCTTAAAAATATAAAAAAAAATTTGTTTGAAAATATATAAGAAAGCAGTTCAATATCAAACATCCAATAAAACGTATTTAATAAATAATAGGCAGAAAACTCGTGTCATTTAATCTATAATTTATCTCTCATAACATCCGTTAAATGTCAGAAGTCCCAGCCAGAATACTTTGAAAACAGTACAAATATATTATACCTTGTCACATAAATTAAAATACACGTCACATATTTAATTATAAGTAATACGTACATTATTTGTATTTAAATTAATTATTAAGTACTAATAACCATGAATGACCATTTTTTGTCAACTAAGGTGGGTTTCATTGGTGGTGGAAATATGGCCAGTGCTATTGGTGCTGGTTTAATTCGTAAAGGTAATCGAATGTTATAATAATAATAATGATCACAATCTTAATAGTTAATTATAATTAATTTGGAATAACATCATTAATTTTTTGTTATAGGTATTTTAGATCCTAACAACGTATGGGTTTCTGCTCGTACTTCTAAAACTCTAAGCTTTTGGAACGACTTAGGTGCCCATGCTACTTTAAAAAATGGAGAAGTAGTGGATAATTGTGAAATCATATTTTTAGCTATGAAGCCTCAAATGCTTGATGATGCACTTAAATGTACCAAAGAAACAATGACAGTACATCATCACTATAAACTTTTTGTTTCAGTTCTTGTAGGAGTTACATTAGAGACTTTATCTAATGTAAAAATCATTATTATCAACACTATAAAGAAGCTATGTTCATAGAAACAAATTATAAAGTTGATTTCATATTTTCAGAAACTCAAATCTATTGTTAGTCATCCTAGAATAATTAGATGTATGCCTAACACTCCAATGATGGTTGGAGAAGGAATAACAGGTAAAAGAAAACATTGGCATCATGTATATAATTAATAAGAGTGTAATCTTCTTATATTTTCATATTTCAATGATATATATAGTATATTGTTCTGTGAATGCAACGGATCAAGATGAAATGATGGTAGAAGAATTATTGTCGTATATTGGTGTAACTGAACATGTTCCTCAGTCTCTTATGAATGCTATAGGTGCTCTTTCGGGATCTAGTCCCGCTTATGTAAATATGTCCGCTATTGTATATGTATTTACCAATTTTTTAAAGCCAAACATTAAGCTTAAACAAAATTTCCAGGCATATCTTGTTATAGAAGCATTAGCAGATGGTGCTGTAAAAATGGGCGTTCCAAGACCTATGGCAACAAAATTTGCAGCTCAAGTATTAGTTGGAGCTGGTAAAATGGTGTTAGAAACAGGCAAACATCCTGGTCAGTTAAAGGATGAGGTATGTTCTCCAGGAGGTACAACTATTGCAGGCATTCATGCTATGGAATGTGGGCAAGTCAGGTAAACTATGCATGAAATTATTATGTATATTAATATAATGTATAATATTACCAATTATATTTATAGAGCTTCTATGATGAATGCAATTGAAGCTGCAGTAAAGAGGGCAAATGAACTAACGTCCTTAACGTCCATAACACAATAAAGTTCAACATAAAGAAATGTATAAAATATCAAAGACATGTGATGATAAAATTACATTATTCCATTAATACTTTTTAAAAATATAATATTTTTATTTTTATGAATTTCAAATATTTCTAAGATATTTATTATTTGAAGGTGCAAAGAAAAAAAAAATTAAAAATAATATAAGGAAATATTCAGATATAGATGAATCGATTTGTTACTAAATACAACTTTAGTTCCTTTAGCTACAGTATAGTGTATAAGTATTATAGTATTCTACAACGCATAATTATTTATATATATTATGTATAAAAATATTAGGTTTTTGAATATTCTACACAACGAGACGGATCTGTGGGATAATACTCCTGACACTTGGTCATTAGCCTTTTTAATGCTTGAATATATTTTCTTTGAGTTTCATCGTTCATTACATGTGCAACGTTCTTTGAGAAAATCTTTTCTCTTCCGGTACGTGCATGAATACCGACCATAGTTACTCCAATAGGCCATGGAGAATTTCCAATTGCCATTTGTAGGTATGCATCACTTGCCTATAATAAATTATTTGTAATAAATGTATTCTACTAAAATTATTTAATTTATTAATAACTGACATAATTACCAGTATGTAATTACGTTCAAGTAAATGTTTTACAATATCGGTTAAACTATCCGTAATATCCTCTGGCAGAGATCTATTTTTTAATTTTCTAAGAAGAGGTTTCAAGTATTCTCTTGTTTGGGCATAAGTAGCACTAGCCATCTTTCCTCTAGTACTCATTTTTTCAGCAGCACTTCTACTATTTAATTGATTACCCCACATTTGTACTAAGAATTGTATAAATTGTGTAATGACATTTAAGTCAAAATCCCTGTCACCCTTGTTTAATTTTATAGACATCTTTTGTAAATCTTCATAGGTAACTCCTTCATCTGGTACATGTACATCTCCTTTTCCATCGCGATCTTGAGGTTTAGAAGAAGCCAGTATTTCATTTAGATATGCTTGATCTACTTGTTCCATAGCTTCTTGAAAATCATTTCTAAAACCCTTCAATACAAAATAAATTATACATATAAGAAATATGTAAATTTTATTGAAATATTTTATTGATTTCAAGTATTTTTGATACTTACCTTATTCACTTCAGGCTCAAGAATTTCACATTTTCTTAATCGTTTAAATGCTTCTATTTCTGATTCTCCAAATAGTAGTATAGGTTCACTTCTTTCACGTAACCTTCTAATCACTTCATGTCTAGGTAATGTTAAATGCTCAGAGCTACCATCAGTTACAGAGTCTTCTTGTTGTTGAGTCGTATTAATTTTAACATCTTCATCATTATTTTCTTGTACTTCCTTCACTTCTTGATCCTTTGCTATTAGTTCGCCTCTTCTAAAATATTTCCGGTTATTTTGCTGCAATATTAACCTAGTTTGGTAAACGAAATAAAAGTTTCCAAAAAAGCTGTATATTGTTTGTAAAAATTTACCAAGACATTGCTCTCCTCCAACTGTTTTCTTTTCTTCATTATTTCTGCTTTTAAAATATCCATTTTTGAGCAATTTAAAGACAGAACAATGATTTATTCTCGAAGTTATTTACCTATACACAAATTGCGTAATATTTAGAAATTAATTTGTTATTATTATAATTTGTACGATTCTAAAGTTTACGTGTTTGACAGTTTTTATTCTTTCACAAAGAATTTTTTGAGATTATATACTAGGTTCCAATAAATTTCTTCATTCACCTACAGATGTCATCCGACATGAATTCTGCGCACAATACAATATATGTATGTGCGATCATGTGGTATACATATGTAGTGATCCTGCGCAGTTGTAACGCATTTCATAAATGTTCGCGGGTAAAATGGCGCTGTGGAATAAAGTGGTTTCAGGATTTGATAGAGAAGAAGAAACTGTAAATTTTGGGGTAAGAACAGTAGCAGAAAATAATGGTTCATTATATGAAACTTCTACTCTTGCAACAATACAATCGACTGGAAAGGTATTTAATATCAACTTTATTTTAATTGTAAAAATTGCAATAAATTTAAATTTAACGGTTGCAACTACTTTTATAAACGTTTTCAAATAATTGTAAATGTTTTTTTGTTATTCTTTATTTATTATTTATTAATTTAACAATCTTAATTTGTTAGTTAATATGACATAAAGAATTTTTTAATATGTTTCTAATTTATTATTTGTGATAAAAAGCATAAATTTGAATAGTATTTGAGTTAGGTAGATAAATTAAATAAAATGCTTTTCTTTATGTTTATAAGTTATCAAGAGAACCAAATATCTTAGCATCTGTGCAATATTCAAGAGTTTGTATAGCAATTGATAAGTCAATTACCATATTCGAGAATGAAACATGTGAAAAAATACTATTAAGTGTCAGTTTTGAATTATTAATAACATGTTATTGTATTTCTCATAATGGTATATTTTTATTTATTGCTTTATCAAATGGAACATTATATTGTCTTCATTTATTAAATAAAGGACAAGTAATCTTTACAAAGTAAGTCTAAATATATACATATATATATAATATTATATAGCTACACTTTGAAATTACGTTGTTTATAAAATTATTCATTTTCCACATATAGAAATATAACAAAAACTGAAGATAAAATAATAGCAATGTTTTTACAAAACAAATCTGATGAATATATTGATATATATCTTACCACAAAAAATGGAGCTATTTATAGGTAAATATATAACTAATTATGAAATTTTATTATTATGAAATTTATATTATAATTTAGATTCATATTTCAGAGTATTACAATTTAATCCTAAACTTATTCAGTTGACTCTTATAAATAAGATTAGTATTAATGATTCACTAAAAGAGATAACAAAAGAAATTAAATGTGAACAGTTATTTAATGGATTTTCCTCTGATGAGGTAAGTTATGTTTCTATGCTTAAATGTGTAAAAATATATTTAACTTGGTCTGTATTTTTTATGATTTATGAATGTTATGAATTATGTAGGTAGTATATGCTACTGCAAATATGACAACTAGAGAAGTATCAATAGCTATGTTATGTTCAAATATGTTATTTATGTGGCCCAGTGAACAGCATATTAATTTTAATACATTTCATTATAATTATATTAAAGTCAAATTTTTAAAAAACTACATGTAAGTATTTACAAAATTTTAATAAAATGGATCATTTCATTACTTTATCTATGTATTTATAACAGTTCCTAACAAAATATACTGATTTTGATCATTTTAGTGCAATGTTATGTTTACGTACAGATTATACTTTAAGTATAATATGCCCTCAAACTCTACTTGGTATACAAGTATATTCTAAGCCTATATCAGATTTTGCAATTATTGAAAATAATGATAATGGTATATGCCAAATACTTGTGTTAACATCTGATAATGATTGTACTACGTATATGTTACATGTGCTTTCTTATCCAGGTATAAAAAGTTAATTTTATGTGTATAATTTGTATGCATAACTTTTTGTTTGTAATTAAATTCTTTGTTCTATTCAGATTTCCAAGAAAAGTTTAAAATAAATGTACCACCTATAACATATCTTATTGAAATTATGGATCCTTATGATGAAATAATTTTATATTTGGAAGGAATTAATAATTTTACCAATAATGAATATATAGATACAGTTAGAGTAAAAGCTGTATCAGAAAGTCTTCCTGAATATCAGTTACAACGTTTAGTGAGAAAAAAACAATTTGATGCAGCTGAAGCTTTTGCATCTAAATTTAATTTATCTACAGATCCCATTTATTGTGCAAAAGCTGCATTGATCCTATCACAACTTGGACCTTGGGCAAAAAACACTTCTAGTCCTTTTCAATTAGACATGCTTTTTAATATATTTGATAAAATAAAAGATGTGCAATATGTGGTAGAATGTTGTAGCAAAGCACTTATACCTGAATATAAACAAATGAGGAAAATTAATTTGTATGCACGTTCAAGAATAATAGAAAGTACTGCTGTAAGCATCTTTTAAGTGATAATAGTTGCATTAATTTTTCTGTGTTTCATGTTAAGTATATTTATATTATTGATTTTAGGAAGATAATAAATATTTAAATCTTCTTTCTTCGATTAATGATATACTACATAAGTTAGAAACTTTTCATATGATTTGGGGCTATAAAAAAAATGTAGAATGTTATGATGAAGATATTATGAATGAATGGATTAAATTTTCACGGGCAAATTTGATGGAAGAATACAAAACACATTTGAGTTTGGTAAAGTATGGTAAATAATTAAAATAAACTAGCACAAATAAACTGGTTAAATTTTTTTATTATAGGGAGAAATGGAAGCAGCTACTTTGATTTGGACAAGACATCTTCCAGATATAATAAAACATGTATCCATAGAATTTGTAAAAGATATATTTGCAATTGTTCCTGAGAAGATATCCTTAGTTTCTCTTTGGACATGGTTATCACACTTTATTCCCAGTTTATTGTCATTTGTTCCTAATGCAATGTGTGAAATTATGCTCTGGGGTATTAAAAAAGTTAAATCATTTGAACAGTTTCATCATTCAGAATGGCCCCAGATTGGAATTGATTTTACAGAAAAGTTTATAAAATTATTGAAATTTGAAGAAAGTCATCATTCGTTATATTTTCAGCAAGAGTGTTTGAACAAAGATTCCAATTTAAAACAATTGGTTTTTTTAATACAAGCTATGTCTGATATTCAAAAATTGAAAGTTGATTATAGGTAATGTTATAATTTTGTAAGCTTAAATAATTTAAAAAAGATAAGTTTATCAAAATATAGAAATTGTAGATTAGCAATATCTCTCAATTCGTATATTGGAGATCCTATGGAAGTCTCATATATATTACTGGATAAGATACATATAAATATAATTCAAGAATTTATAAATACATTTCTAAAACAATACATGTTGAATAATTCTCTGCAAAATGATTATGTACTTTCTTCGTATATACAGGTATGTTTAGATTAAAATTGATCAGATTTTATTAAATATTGATGAAAATTATACCTGTATAGAAAACTTTAAGGAATTCTAAAAGTTGGTGGTCAGGTGAAGAAGCTCCATGGGAGAAAAAAGTTATTCTTATTATTGATTTAATTCAAGATATAGAGGTATGCATATATACATATATATATATATAAGATTAGAGATATTTATATGTTAAGTGGAAATATAATATAGTTTTACACATACTTATTTATAATTACAGACTAAATTACAACAAACATTAGAGGTACTGAAAAAAGCTACAGTTCCATGGTCTTCAACTATTGTAACTTTAACAGAAACAAGCTATAATTCTGATCATATTTTAATATCTCAAATCAAAATGGAACATAATTGTGTTCCAATTAAACTTATCTTAAAGAAATATGGATATGAACGCATTGGCATAAATAATGTCAGTAAATTATTTACTCCACTAATTATTTACAAAAAAAATTTTCAATTTAAATGGTTTAAATGGTTAAATGGTTATTTTAACTTTTTTCAGAAATTAATACACTGTATAATAAAAGAAAATCATGAAAGCATGATATCAGATATTGAACAAATAACTAAAAATGATTTATTATCAAGGAAAAAAGCATTTTCATCCTGTGTAAATTACTACCTAGTTAGAGGGTAAGATATTTCAAACATAGAACATAAAATAATTCTTCAAAATCAACTAGTAACAAAAATGAACTTGCAGGAATTTTGAAAATGTAACCAAGACATTAAATTCCTTAGAAAATGACGTTTTAGTATATTGTTGTGTACAAATTGTTAATTACGTTAGAGCTGGTTTAACGCTAAAGGTACATTGAAATACTATAATTTTTATTAAAAAGATACTTTATATTTCTTAAATGCAGACATATTATTTAACTTTATATTTATTATATAGGTCATGCCTGAGTCTCTTATACATCACATTGAGATGTTGGGTTGGGTAAAATTACAGTTAAAAAAGCTTTCAGAAACATGTAAAATCCAGTCACATCATTGCAATAACGTTATTGATAGTATAAATGAAATAAAATCAATGTATTTTTTAAAGAAAGATTTTCAAATTAATGTTACACTTGAAGAGTATCAAGATAAAAAAAAGCAAATATTACAAAACTATGTTAGAGGACTGTGCGATAGTATGAAATAATCTTTCTCTATATTTTATACTTTTTACAATTACAGCAATTAAGTATTTATAATTACAATTTTTTAATAATATTTCAGTGGACATAGAGAAAGATGAAAACTTATTTATCTCTTATAAAAAAGTTATGAAGGTTGCTGACTTACTTAATTTACAAAGAATTGATGCAATATCTACATTATTAGAGCAGACAAAAAGTATAAACATATTAAATTATTTTATTAGGTAAATAAATTTTATTTATATGAAAAATACAAACATATAATATTAAGTCTTGTTGAAGTAATTATTCCTATTTAGATACAAAGAAGGACAATTAAATATAATGACACATGAATGTCAATATATACATAAAATATGTTTATTTATTATGCAAGATATTACAAGAGATGCAGACATTGCAGTTACAGTCCAAAGCTTAAGTTCTGCTGCATTATGTGTATGTTCAGATGGTATGTGTATTATTTAAATATTAATCATTTTAATGTATATTTTAATAACTTTGATGTATATTTTTAGATGAATTACAATCTATGTTACTATTGTATACATGGGCAA